ATTTCATTTATGAACCAAACAATGCATCCATATTCTTAAAATGAAAAACCATTTTTGAAAATGCCTTTTAATTTGAAATATGGTAACGATTTGCTTCCATAATCGGGCTATGCCTCTGAATTTAAAGTCACGAGACATGCTGGCGCGGTTGCCAGGCAGCGGGCAGTGGGCGGAGCCAGAGAACACAGATGCTCTGGAAGGAGCGGCGGCAGGGAGGCGGAGCTCCCAACGTCTTTCAGGCTGCCAGACAGAAGAAGCGACGTGGGGCAGAACTTCTCCGACGACGGCCGAACCATAAACAGCACCAGCTGTCCGATACCGAAGCTTCTCGCCGCGTCTCGGTAGTCGGTCGTGGGAAAGAAAAAAAAATGTCCACCGTAAACTGGAAGCCTTTCGTTTTCGGCGGGCTTGCTTCTGTGACGGCGGAATGCGGTGAGTGGGTGAGGGATGTGTGGGCAGGCCGTGCTTTTAGCGTTCATTTTTATTGTTTATTTTCGTTTATTTCATGCTGTGTGTTGCAGGTACTTTTCCCATCGACCTGGCCAAGACGCGTCTGCAGGTCCAGGGCCAGGTGGGGGACATCAAGTACCGTGAGATCCGCTACAGAGGCATGCTCCACGCTCTCATGAGGATAGGAAGAGAGGAGGGGCTCCGAGCGCTTTACTCAGGGTCAGTGGGTTCATTTATTTATTGCACGTTTTCACTGGAAGCAAAATAAAAGTGTAAAATATGTTTTATACACACAATTATCTCCCACTTCCTGTTCCATAAACTATTTTTTTTCCTGCATTCTTGTGTTTTCATTAAAGTGCATTTTATTCTAACTCCATTATTCAATGCAAGGAATGCAATACTACATTTTTACTGAAATAAATGCTCATTTTTGCAGCATTGCTCCCGCCATGCTACGTCAGGCCTCCTATGGGACCATTAAAATTGGCACATACCAGAGTTTTAAGAGGCTGTTTGTTGACAGACCAGAAGGTGAGGTTTCAGTTGCTGCTGTCCTTCTCTCACACTCCCACACTTGCATGAATGTGCATTCCTGTTGAAGGTCACAGCTATGAGTGTGACCTCTTCAAACACGCCTCCTCTTTAGGTCAATGCATCATGAAATCAGCAGCACCTGAAAGTTAAAGCTGTTTCTCAGCAGGATCAAGTTGATCAACTGTTAATATATTGATTCTCTTCCAGATGAGACCTTGTTGACTAATGTGCTGTGCGGCATTCTGTCTGGAGTCATTTCCTCCTCCATTGCAAACCCCACTGATGTGTTGAAGGTATGAGATTTCTATAGAATTGAGGTTGTGTCTGATCTTGTTTACTGTTATAGAGGCAACAGACCGAGTCTGACAAGTTTTTGTGGCCTGCCGAGAAGTGTGGCCAAATATTTCCTTGAAAAACCATGGTCCATGTGAGAAACCCTGGGAGGTGTGGCTTTTACTCCACTCTGTATAATTCATAGCCCTCAGTAAACCTTATTAACCTTGCCTTTTATCTCTTTAAAATAAAAGTATTTTTTCATGGCTGCCTCAAGTGAGAATAAAGAAACGTTTAAGTAGGTGCTTAGGTCTGATGAGATCAGAAATGTTGGTATATGGTAAAACTGATCCGGACAACATCGTGCCAGCTGTGAAACATGTTTGTGGCTCCATCATACTGTGTTGAATGCATTTTCTTTATCGGATTTTTTTCTTGCGTTTTTCTGTGTGTTTGGAGTTTGCATCACACACGTTTTTGCGGCTTGTTTTGTCATTCACTGCACGTTTGCACACGTTTGCCACCGTACAAACCTGATTTAAATGCTCCTTTGCCACCAGCAAGTGCCGTGGAAGCATATTAATCACAGCTTGTTTTAGTTAAAGTATATGGCAGAAAGAAAACACCCTAAACTTATGACAGTAGAACCTGCAAATGCAGGAAGTGCTTGTTTAGGTCACCTGTGTGAAACTTTAGTCCTCCAGGCTTGTTTCCACCAGAATGAAATGAGCAGCTTTCCAGTTCTTTAGGCCTCTGTTAACAGCCCAAATACCTACTCTCAGGGTTCCCGCGGGTCCTTAAAGAGTCTTAAAAGGCATGGAATTCTTCAAAATAAAATTAAGGCCTTAATTGGTTTTAAAACGTCTTAAATCAGTCTTTCGTAGGTCTTAATTTAAAATAAAACATCATAAATATCATTTTTATTACAATTTAATTTTGTAATCTAAACAAAACCTTAAAATTGACAATTTCTTTTTTTATATTTAAAAAAAATAACGGCTCGCCATTATTGGTTCCGTCCCAATAGCGGAACCAATAAAAGCGTTGTTGCGGCCGGGACATTTGGGAGATGCGCCATTTACTTTTTGTTTGGAAAATATGAGCAGGTGTAAATGTAACAAAAATTGTCTATCCAGCCAAGAGTTTTCTCCATGGCTAAAACCAGGGAACATATATGAGGCTCAGTGTATTTTGTGCAAGAAGTCATTCAAGCTCAGAACGATGGGAATTAAGGCAGTGGAGTCGCACATGCGAAGAACGAAACACAAATTGTCAGAATCGAGTTACTGAGAAACAGCCGGTATTTCTCAGTTTTGTTCCACCCTTGTCTCTGCAACGCCTCCACTTATCACCAAATCAAACATACTAAGAAAACAATACAAAGAAAAATAGCTGCAAAAAAGATTTAGCACTGGTTATGTTGTGGTTTTAAAACTGATTTGTTTTGTTCCCTGCTAAAACAAAGTTTGTGAATTCAGTTAATTAATTGTTAAAATATATCTGTCATTTGTGTGTTTTTAGCTTTCTTCCTGTATGGGAAGCTTTTCAAAATTGGAAACATTAGTGCAGTGGTTTATGTTAAAATAAACATTTGGGTTAAGTTGTCGCAAGCGGGTTTTTTATTTCAAGTGGCATTAAAAAGTCTTAAAAAGTCTTGAATTTAACTTGCCTTATGCTTTAGGAAACCTGTACTCTTGAAACCTAACATAAAAGAAATCTCAAGTAGGGGAATGGCATAGTCAAAGTCCAGATGTGAATTTGTTAGGTAGTCTTTGGTCATACTTACATGCATGCAGACATTCCTAATCTAATCTGACTAATCTGGTGCTATTTAACAACCATTGCATAAAATCCCAAGGTTGGCTCTTTGTGACCAAGAGATATAAATACTTTTGGAAGGCAGCGTTGTAGAGCGAAAGTCAAACCCAGGCCATCCTGACCTCACACCTGGTTTATTTATAGACCGACCCCTTAAAGGCCTCGGTGTTCTGTAAATGATAGCAGCTGGTGAATGCCAATGCTTATCTGCACTCTCTGAGCTCTTTGGGGCAGTGACCTCCTGTCTGCAGTCAGTGTTTATAGGATTAACACTGACGCGTGCGGCTGCAGGTTTGGAACATCGTGTTTTATGAGGGTGTGTCCCTGTCAAATCTTCAAGGAGGAAAGGAATGAACTCGTGGTGTTCATCATACCTGTAGTGTAAATATGGTCTGATGGAGAGGATATGTGGGTGATGAACGTTTTGACTGTTGTCGTATTTGATGCCTTTTCTATGTCTTCTATTAGATCCGGATGCAAGCTCAGGGGAATGTGATTCAGGGCAGCATGATGGGCAACTTCATCAATATCTACCAGGAGGAGGGGACAAGAGGATTGTGGAAGGTAAAAAGAACAAAGATTGTTCTGTCAATCTAGGTGAATTTCAGATGTCAGACCTTCGGCTGGTAAACGTTCCGTCTGTGTTTGTGTCAGGGTGTTTCTCTAACGGCTCAGAGAGCGGCCATCGTGGTCGGGGTTGAGCTCCCCGTCTATGATATCACCAAGAAGCACCTGATCCTGTCTGGCTACATGGGGGACACCGTTTACACACACTTCCTGTGAGTTTGACCTGCTTAATAGAGTTCTTCTGTTCTCTAATGCATTGTGGTAATTCTTGTAAATTCCAGAGTTCTTTGGGGTATTTCTGTTTCGTTTGAAACATTTAAAGTTGTAGGAAATTGACATTTAAATGTCAAATAATTCTGGCTTAAACATGTATATAAATGTACTCTTTATCAGACCATATTGTCCCAAAAGTTTTTTTTTTTTTAATCTTAAAATCTGTGGGGTTTTTTTGTTCTTCTTTGTCATCTTAATTTGCGTTATAAAAAATTTTTCGGTCGCAGCTAATATACGCAACGGTTGAAATAAGAAATAAGAATCATTTACTTTCCCGTTGAGTTCCGTCCCAGTGTTCACAGGGATGGACGTCTGTGTCTTCAGCAGGCGTAGAGCTAACAGAACTGGCAGCGTTGCGAGGCAAGGGCCAAACATGTATGGCTGTAAGCCTTCTACACCAAACCAAGCTTCTGCCGCCCTGGCGTCCTCTTCCACAACAACTTCGTCCCCGCTTTCCTCCTCTAAATAAAAAAATGTATGACGGAGGAGACTGATCCACGACCTCCGACACAAAGCTCTCCTCCTCTTGCATGTTTCCGCTGTCCATAGCGTTCCTTGACAGTGTCGTTGCTAAGTGCTGCTTGGTCCCAATGGAATTTCCTATTGGGAACCTACATTCACTTTATTCACTCGTGTAAATTCGGCTCCACTCAGGGGAATTCGGAACAGCAACGGTTTAAATAGCCGGTTCCCCACGACATAGTTTTTAAAATATGCATCAATTCCTTTTACTCCTAAATCCAGGCTGTTTACTGCATTTTATTGGGATTTTATCTGAAAGAACAACAAAAAGTGTTGGCTAAATCTAAAGTGGATTTAAAAGGATGCTGGGATTTTTAAGAAGCAGGCAGTTCTAAGTTTGTGGATCATTAAATATTTACTAAGCTCTCTTCATACAGCATTTGAAAACTGGTAGAGAATAGAACAGTGGCTAACCTACTGGGACATGAGACGAGGGGAGCGTTAATCAAAGAACTGAGGGGCTCAGATGAACGAATCTGCAGACTCCCAGTTAACACTTGGTTCAGCTCTGCTGTGCTGCAGACTTCTCCGGCCTCCTAAATTTACCTTTAGCACACTCTGCTGCGGTGTGAAGCCAACAGGAGCTCAAGCAGATCACACATTAAAAGCCCACGAGTAAGTCAACTGTCAGACCACAGCAGCTCCTCTCATAGATTCTAAAATGGTTCAGTTTTTTTTTTTTTTTTTTTTAAGATATTGAAAAACGGGAGACTACACTGAGTTCACAGCAGCTATATTTACTGTTTACAGTTTAATGTTCACCTGTTGAGTTTTATTACCTTCGTAATTATATATTAGGAGTGGAACGGTTCACAAATCCACGGTTTGGTTCACGGTTTCGTGGTCACGGTTTTCGGTGTTGATTGTTAGCCTGATATGTTGGTAATGTTGCTGTTAGCATAAACAAAATGTGTTGCGCAATGCTTGCACACTGTTTTTATCCACAACTTTCTTTCCGCCGTCATTGTGTGTCATTCTAAATGCAAAGTGGTCCCATACAGCAGACCTATAAAGTGCTGCTGGCGCGTCTTCCAACTCCTGTTCTTTCCCACTCGCCATACCCACACACTTCTCCACAGTAACTGATTTTTTTTTCTGCTATACCCGGATACGCTGCTTCGCTTCTTCTTCTTGTTTACTACTGGTGGTTGGCTTTGGTCGCAGTACCGCCACCTTCTGCTCTGGAGTGTACACACTTCGCCGATGAGAAAAAGGAGCAGTGCATGAACCGAACGCAACACACGCGAATCAAACCGAACGGTTCGGATGGTTTTCATAAACCGTTCCATCCCTATTATATATATATAGGCAAGCAACTGATCTAATGGTTGAAAATATCTACATATATCACAGTGTGTTTGTATAAGTTCAAATATATTCTCAAATGCCTCAATATTGCAGGTGTTCAGGCAATGAAAGCTAAAGCTGGTAAACTAAACAGTTGGCGAGATGAAATTTCTGAGTATTTATTTTGGACTTGCTGCATTTTGGACTTGCTGAAAATTGAATCCAATTTTGCCGGCGTCATGTCCGCTTGCTGCTGCCCTGCTCCACCTTAGACACCGTATAAACACTATCCTTGATTCTAATTGCTGCATATAGTTGTGCAAATCTAGATTGAATAAAACATTGAAAGTTCTGTTTATGATCCATAACGAGTAATGTAAGACACAGAGCTGAGGAATGAGGCACTCTGTACAGATGTGATGAAAATGAAACGGCTTGCCAGAATGCAAAATGCTATATCTGGGATAAAACTGTACATTTAAAACGTTTCCAAGCTAATCCTGGGTTTATAACATTAATGTAGATTTGACTTTTGTCATCATATTGTAAGGAAATGTTAAAAGTTTTGTATTAAGTACCAATCCTCTGGATCTGATCAGCAGAGATGTGTTCAGTTCTGCAGCTTTAATTATTTTTTTTTAGATCAGGTTTTCAGGTGCTGAAGCTCTAACTAGCACCTTGACGTCACTAAAAACAGTTTTTGTTGTCCTTTAGGTCCAGCTTCGTGTGTGGCCTTGCTGGAGCTTTGGCCTCGAATCCAGTAGATGTGGTCCGGACACGCATGATGAACCAGAGGGGCGGGGCTCTCTATCAAGGAACTCTGGACTGCCTGCTGCAGGTCTGTCAGAGATTTGCACCTGGTTTACGTCCCACTCAGTTTGTATTTCAGTAGAAGGGCACACATCATCACTAAACAAACTAGTTTAGCTAGAAGAGACGCTGACTACAGTCAGATTTTATCTGGAACGCCTTCCAACGTTTGATATATCAAATGTATGTCCAAATATCCTCTAAAAACTCTGTAGCTAGCACTTGGTTACCTTTCTTTTCCACTTTGGCGACGGGGGAAAAAACTGAGCCACAGTAGGGAAGGAACAGCTTTTATCTGGAGATAGAGATGGGCTCCTAAAGGCTAACAACTAATCAAATGTTAACATTATTATAAAGTTCTTTAATATTGATTAAAAAGCTGTTAGTTCTGGAAGGAAATCAGCCCTTCTATCTTCTAGTGTTTATTTTCGTTCCTTGTGCCACATACTATAAGTAGGTCAGTCTTCCGCCTCAAGAAGTGCTGTTTTCTTTTTTTTTTTAAACAAAGGAGGTCTTTATATAGCGAGATTCGATCCCAGTTACAATGTTTAGAATCAAACATTTAAAAGATGGAAAGTCAGTAGGAGCTCATTACATACAGTTTATTCTGTCAAGTTAAGAACTGGTTTTAGAATCTGCATAGAACTGAATCTGTTTCAGTGGAAAAACCCGAACGGTGGCCTAGAATCTTTGGAGGTTTATGTTTAACAGGCAGATCAACCAGTAAAACAAAAAACAAACTGGACCAGGTATTTAGGCCACACGTGTCTTTTGTGTGGACATTTCTAAAGGGTGCTTGCCGTCCACCTTTTAAGAGCGGCGTGTTTAACGAGTCTGTTTTATCTGGATGCACTGCAGGTTCTATCCACCCATCAGTTTACAGAGGTGGTCTGTTAATCTGATCTGAAGTTGGTGCTTAATCAGCTCAGTAAAATGCATTATTATAAGAGAATATTTTCAGGCTCGAACTGAAAGAAAGCTGTCGTCCCTTCATCTTGCATGGTGCATTCTGCTGCTTCAGGCAGTTTTAGTAGCTGAACATAACTCTAGCTCCGTCACTACTGATGAACACATTGCTGCTGGCAACAGGGAAATATTAACTGCTTTTTTACTTATATATTTGCATTCAAACACATTTGAATGACATTTTAGATTTAAACAGTACATTATGTTGGTGGTATCTGTGTAATCCACTGCACTCTGAGGAAAATATGATGTTGGAGGAGCTGTTTTGTCATGAAATGGAGAATACTTGAAAAAGAACAACTAATCTAAAGCTGATAATCTTCAGTCTAGGGCTGAAACAACTAATTAGATTAATCGTGATTAAAATTATTGAAATAATCGTCAACTAATTTAATAATTGATTAATCGTTAACTGGAGTATAGAAACTCTAAAACATGCCTTTTGTTTACAGAGAAACCCACTTAGAGCAGTAATTATATTGAAAAAAAAAAAAAA